GGTTTTCAAATTACATTTCAATAATTGTCTAACATGATACATCAGATGCACTCTGCCTTTGGAATTAGATAATGAATGGAGGACAATTAATCCAAAGATTGACTAAAAGCTTTCTAGATTCGTTAGAGGTTGTGTAAATATTAATGAATGATATACATGGTAAATGGATGCATATATCATTGATTGACTCTGCAGCAGCATTGTCAAATCAGACCGAATCTTTATCATAGATCTTTATAGAATTTCAATACGAGCATCAATTGCAATAAGAATTTACGATAGCCAAAAGTTTTAATGTTAAATCATCTGTTTCATTGACATTCCACGGTTTTTGCACAACAGAAAATAACCATTAACAAATTGTTCACATCATTCTTAATTTTAAACGAAGTAAGTGATGGATTGTAAAAGGAGATTCAAAATCAAACTGTTTTTCTTCTTTTTTCTGTTTTCATTGTACAGTTCGTGTTATTGGGAGTCCTTTAACAATCTTTCCGGGAAAGTTGTCATGAATGCTTCGTATTTCAGTTTTTCCACAAGCAGTTTGCTCTGTTGTGCCAGGCGATGCAAGTCTCAAAGAAAATGTCTATCCATCAATTATGACACTATAGAGAGAGATTGCATTCTTAACTTCAAAAGTCATGTGTCTTCTAATACTCAGCTGGATACAAGCAGTCATATACGATCTTACGACATTAGCATTTGGAGTGATGTATTTTAATTCAATATATTTTTGCGATTTATTATCAAATTATCTGAAAAGGATGAAGTTTGATGTTAGTAAAATGTTATACAACATATGACTGAGTTACTTTTGTTTCTTTCAGGAGGTTTTATTTATGGGAGGATGTAGTAACCACAGCTGTAGGTATGATCTGATCTGTAACGAAGGAGGAAGCGACCAGAAAATGCCCTATACGTGTGTACAGGACACACAATGTCAGTGGAATGATGGTTGTACAGCCTGCCTCCAGGGTAAGATAAGATTTAAAAATATTCACAAAAGTATATTTCTTATAAAATTCCTTGTATCGACTCTCTGACAGATACGCCATTTTTTTTTTTTTAGCAAATAAGGTATTTCTACCTATGTCACAGGTTTTTGCAAGATCTGTTGTTAATTTAATTTCATGCACAATAGAAATATATCTTTTATTGGACGAATGATTTTAAAAAGGTGTAATAAAAAGTATTGTTTAGTAAAAGAATTAAAAATGTGCGGTAAACATTTTGTTTTGTTAATCAATTATTTTATGTTTTAAAAAATTGTGCCAAGGCCTCGTGTAATACCTAAACGGTTGCTATCAGAAAAAAATGCGCCTACATTACTGCTATCCGAAAGTTGTGCGGTTGCAACTGGAAAAAAATGGACGAAATGGTAAGCACTTTTCTTCGCTGGCTCAACAAAATGGTCAATAATTCAATTATTAAAGTTTTACTGCTAAGTATTTTACCCTTACGAAACGTAGCATACCTTTTAAAACTAACATTATTTATCTCTCAATTTTTAATGAATTAAAGGATTGCTAATGTATAAGACGAAAACTGTCGAAAGCTTCGGACACGCTTACATGCACATAAAAAATATATTACAATTGCGTCAAAATCTTTATATATTTGATAAAAATGAATCGACAGTGCGATGTTTATCTGTAAATAATAATGGTTATTTCATAGCATTCCTCGTTTTGATGTGTTTCTTAAAATCTAGAGCGCCTTTATTTGGAGAAATTTATGTTACGGCTACTAGTAGACAACAACACTGGTTACTATTGGAAATGGCTTAAATTTTCAAATTTCATTAAATCACATCCTCAATTTACATCTATTATGCAATTATAGTTAAGAAAAATATTTATGAAATGTTCCTTCCATATTCTTTTTTTAATAATTACTTTCGATCCTATACTGACAACTAGTTATTCCTACATGTATTTCTATATGTATGATATAAATAGTGGAGTTTGTATGTGCCCTGTACATTTACTAAGTAACTTGCACACATGCAATAAAACTGTAAGCCATTAAAGTATGTGACCTACCACTGAATTTATTAGATTTCACCTATGTTACTATGCCAGAATGATAAATGTACGATTTTCCATGCATGTTTTGTGGTTGGATAGCATTTTTTTAGCTGACGAGTAGTGAGTTTTTATCCCCCAGCCTTGGCGAGGGAATAAAAACTCACAATGAGTTAGATAAAAAATCATATCCAACAACAAATTATGGGAGATTCTTTTTCTCAAATGTTTACGGAGCTCACCTTGACAAATACTAACATAACCTAAAAGGGGTTAGGTCAAAGTATCAATGTCAAAGTGATAAAAAATATAAATTGAAATAGTTGGTCGGAACGGAATAAATCCACTTGAGATTTTGCTGTCCGACGTCGATAATGACACCAATAAAGTACATATTGTACATAGGAGCTTACGTTATTGTCCACATTATAGTGTACATCGGACATTCATATACTATACATCCGGTAAAGCTCGTAAAACGAAAAGGGGGGTCTGCCCCCCCCCCCTTCCTCTTTTTTCTGATAAGAGACTTTTGCTGTTCATTTTGATTGATTTTTTAAAAACACATTTTTGATGCACAGAATTGTCAAACACTCCCAATGTCCAAAAATTATAAATATATTGAAAATGAGAACGAAAGTGAAATTTCTCATAATTATCCCCCGTTTCTGCTTCGAAAAAGATTATACCAGGTATGTCTGTTAACAGTATTGTAATGGTCTTTCCTTTAAATGCACATGTATATTACTTACATATTACATACATATAGAATATTAGGCAGCTATTTTCATGTTCGGATGTAGAATTTTTTTCAAAGGTGGAGTGGTTCCAGGCCTACTTCAAAAAACAACAACAGCAAAAAAAAAAAAAGAAATTTTGAGATATATATTAAGTCAATTTACAAGAAATTTGACAGCGAAAAAAGGGGGTGGTGGAGACTTTTCTATCTAAAAAAAAAAAAAAACTGCTTTCGGGGAATGGGGGAGGGCACTTGTCTTTTCTTACCTATATAAATTTAAGAACTCCGAAATTCCTTATCGGGGGGCGGGGGATGTCAGACACCCTCTCCATTCAAGATCCGATGTTTTGAATGTATGTTCTATAGTTAGAGCAAACCAATGCACCAACGTGCTTCGAGAAAGAAATGTAAAAATATTAGTCAAAGGTTATTCTTCAACTTCTCTAGATATTATATTTATATAGACTACAAAAATCCCCAATGACTCTAGCTTTGGAAATCCCCAAAGACTCTAGCTTTTGAAAGGTTTTAAAATATTGATGGTAAAAATATTTTTTGTGTTATTTAAAATTAATTTACGAGTTCTTTCGTAAAGCGTTCTTTTTGATTTTGTGTAGGAGTGCCTTTCGAATATCTCCTCTACTTGACAGAATACGAAACATCGAGATAAGTTGGTAAATGTCAATTATTATATTTCAATGCTATTTGGGATATCTAAAATGTATATTTTAGGCCTTTGCTGCCATAATTTTGTTTAATTTCTCTGTCTTCATTGATGGAAAAAAATTAAATTTCAAATAGTAGCTGATGCGTTATTTTCAGTTTATAACCGGTACAATACATGTCAAGACTGATAGCAACCGTAACTTAAGATGATCGTGTTTTGTCCAAAAATATCTTTCAAAATACACTTTTTGAAGATTTTTAATCATTTCTACGAATTATTATAGATTGACACATCTTCACATACCAAAATAAAAACAATCTAACCTATGAATGATAAAAAGAAGCATGAAAACTGGGAGTATATTGACTTGAGATTTTGTACAGGTTTTGGAAATTTTACTATATCTGAATTATTAGAGGATTATTCTGCAAAATACATATGGCATCAATTATAGAAATTCCTTACTTGTTCCGTGCACATAGACTTTTCAGAGACTTAATTGATTCGGGGTCATGTTTTTACGGTTTCACAACTTGTTCCAAGAGTCTCCAACATATTTATTTTAGCTAACAGCCGTACAATTTTCGAATGGAAACATTGAACGCGATTTTGTTCCGATAGCAAACGTTTTGGTACAACACCTTGTAAGGGCAAACATGCATCATGCATCTTCATTCATTTTCAGTGTACTTCCAATGTTAAATGATTTCCCTGATATTCACAATTCAAACACATTTATAAAGTAACATTTATTTTGGAATTTTCAGTGTCACCATTATGTATAATTTGAACCAATTTTAACATGCATTTAATAATTCTGTTTACCCAAAATGATATTTTTATGCAAAAATATATATCTATTTATTTATTATGTTTGACATATTAAAACCTATGGCAACCTATACATTTTTGCGATTTTAAATAATTAATTTAACCTATGTTCAGCATAAATAAAATTATCTACTTTGAACCCATAAAATTGTTTGTGGAAGTACCTAAAACTATATATTTTCTATACTTTACAAAAGAACGCTGTTTTTTTTCCCCAAAAGTACTAGTAATCTGTAATTTTATTTTTATTTTTTTTTTAATCAAAAAGTTCCTTTTGTTTAGAGATTTATATTTTCAGTTTTAAGTCGTGTTCTGTCTTTTCATTGACTAGATTTTAGCTACATGTATGTGGGAAAATATGATAAAGAACCAGTTTTAACTTGGTATAAAACAGTGAATATCTTTAACAGGCAGTGGACAAACGATTCAAGCAAATACGCCTAACTATGTTGCAGTAGGCTGCTACCATGCGCCAAACACTAACACTGGATTTAACAACTATGTTAACCTCAGATCACAGATTAACTGGCATGACATCGGGGCTACAATCAGAGCGTGTGCTTTAGAGGCTAAAAACAGAATGCTATTATATTTTGGCATTGAGTTCTATGGGGAGTGTTATATGAGAAATGATACACTTGAGGCATCATACAGACTAGTTTCTGCGAGCAAGTGTACAGAGAGGTGTGTATTGGGAGTTGGTGCTCAACATACTCTTTTCGTTTATCAGTTACAGTAATGCTCTATTGAAGCTATATCTATTTAAGTACTTATTGCCTATCGTTAATAGCATATCTATTTTTGTATTCATGTGAATCATATACGGTACCAATTTTGATTCGCATTTTGACAAATTATGTCTCTTCAGTGACGCTCATACCAAAACGTTGGAAATACGAAATATTTAAATTAAAACAACTTTGAAGAGCTGAAAAAGGGGTGACAAAGACTGGAGCCAAATAAGTCGAAGGATCAGAGCTATGAATGAGGGATATAATCCATAATTGTTAAAAAAATTTCTATAAATTTTACCACAGCTGTTAAATATATATCCGTATTTTGAAGCTAGTACCCAAGTACTAGCTACTGCGCTGTAGAGACCCTCGAAGACTTACAGTCCGCCAGCAGAGGCATATGAAGCAAGATTTTTTTTTTTCGTAAACTTCTACATGAGAAGAAGCGGGCACCTGATGTGGCCTACAAATCGACATTTAGATATATCTACGACGTATTTTCAATTAACAATAGGTTTTTTTATTCATATGTCGACTGGACTAGAAATGAAAGATAAAAGAGCATTTCACAGTCATCAGCTTCTTGTGAGGGTATTTTACTAGTAAAACATGTAAATGTTAACATAAGAAAACTTTATGATAAACGTGATAACTTCAACTTCTTTTTCATGTATCAAAACGTACACTATATGAAAGATTTAATGTTTCATTAACGTATAAAAAGAGATTACTATATTAAACTTAAAAATACTTGTATTTGTTTTCACATGAGGACAATAACTCCTTAATATATTTTGGTAATATTTAGGTTAATACTTTGTTTCATGAAATATGGTGGAATTCGGAGATAACGAACTGTAGCGAATCTCATGTAAATGGAAGACAATGTAACTTATTTTTTACCTTTATAAAAATAAAGGTATACATGGAATTAATTGTACTCAGAGTCTGACACATCTGTTTCATATCTGGATATTTTACTAGAAAAAGACGAATGGTAACCTAACAACAAAGCTTAATGATAAATGTGATGACTTCAATTTTTCGTCAACTTCCATTATTTATGTAGCAAACTACTCTTATCACCTGCTTATAGAGTTAAGGTCTCTAAGTTGATTCAATAGGGAAGAGCATGCTCTACGTACAATATGAATATTATTTCTTTCTCTAGTCAAAATTCCAAATATGAAACAAATATGTCAGGCTCTGTGGTGTCTTTTATTTCAAGTTAAATAGGATATATCGAATAAAACTAAATATGGTTGATTTATAAACGTAGAATAACTAAATGTCAAACTGACAGCCATACCAAGAGACTTCTTTCCTTCATTTTTTTAAAAGAATGGATTTGGGACACAATAACTATGTGTGGCATTCCAAACAGACTGTTGGAAGACATGCATCTTCCCTGCATAAAAAAGGGAAAAAAGACAAGAAAGATATTTTCAATGAGAAACTCAAGCATCATCAATATCAACCTGTGTGTCGAATAATTCAACTTCTGAAAAGAGACGAACTATTGACAAACAAGTCGATGAAACAAAAATATAAACAATCTCATTCAAAGTCAACATCTTGCAAATAATAAAGTTGATAAAATGACCTGGCCAGCAACTACAATTTATGATTAAGAAGAATGCAGACTGACGTTTTTCGTACAAATTGTTAGGTCATTATTTACATACTGAATTTTCTACGGAGTTTTCCGTTTGCCTGACAAGTACAAGGGACAGACAGCAGGTGTGACCGGTCGGCAGGGGATGCTCACTCCTCCATGGCACTTGATCCCAGCGCTGATGTTTTAGAGATGTGTGTTTGCTCTTCTCCAAATCCTTATTGTTTCAATGGACTATTGAGCTTAATTTCTATTCGTTGTCTTCTTATTTCATAAGGTTAATAAAATTTTATAACATATGTGTACATGAAGTTTATGAATATGAAAACTTAGGTGTACATAAAGATATTTATAGGAATTTTCTGTCCGAATATATAATAGTTATATCTTCTAAGAAAATTAATGATAGACATTTATGTCAATGAAAAATTTCTATTTGTTTTGTAATGCTTATATTGCTTGCAAATGTTATAATAGAAAAACGATAAAATCTGTCTCCATTATTTCTTTAATCAAATTCACCCGTTAAATCAATTCAACATCAGCAGCTCGCGGATAGAGCCGCCTAAAGACTATAATATGCTGTCAAAATAAAAATCCTATGAAACGTTAGAACAATCTTTAAGTTAATGAAAAACTTTTTAGCCGACGGTCAGCTGCCTAAAGACTGTTAAAGCAGTCACAGTTGGTTTTCCTAGAAAGTGTTAAAATTCTAAGAAAGTTGAAGCAATCAGTGTCGTGTAAAAAACGCATCGAACCGCAGCTGCCTTGGTATCGTTAAAGCAGGCAGTTTTATTTTCCTGTGGACTGCCCAAGCAGGAAAAGTCCGCTAACTAAGGTCTTTTAAAACAGGAAAAGTCCGCTAACTAAGGTCTTTTAAAACAGGAAAAGTCCGTTAACTAAGATCTTTTAAAGCAGGAAAAGTCCGCTAACTAAGGTCTTTTAAAACAGGAAAAATCCGTTAACTAAGATCTTTTAAAGCAGGAAAAGTCCGCTAACTAAGGTCTTTAAAAGCAGGAAAAGTCCGCTAACTAAGGTCTTTTAAAACAGGAAAAGTCCGCTAAGTCTTTTAAAGCAGGAAAAGTCCGCTTACTAAGGTCTTTTAAAACAGGAAAAGTCCGCTAACTAAGGTCTTTTAAAACAGGAAAAGTCCGCTAACTAAGGTCTTTTAAAACAGGAAAAGTCCGCTAAGGTCTTTTAAGGCAGAAAATTTCGATGGCTAAGGACTGTCAGTAGGGTAGCGTTTGCCTTCCATCATTGTTTTTGAACAATCTGAATCAAATATTATATATAATTATTAATTTATATATTTCTTAAAGATAACTCATGCTGGCGATCCTGATGGGACTGCTCTTTGTATTACCAGTCCATTACAGGTCGGATACACATCTATACCTGGAGCAATTTGTCAAGGTCAAAGTGGTGATAGAACCGCGCATGAATTCAACAGATAATGCATGTCAAATTCAAGAAATTAAGGATAACGAATGATAGGATGTTCGGATTAGAAACAAAATATCCCAATAACATTCTTACAGTAGTCTTTGTAAATATATATAGCTGTTTGGTTTAATACTTTGTCAATGACGTAAAATATTGTTTGCATTTTGTTTGAGCCTACCAATGCAATATACATCAAAAGAAAAAGAATAAAACACATTGAATTTGTCACAGCAGGCAATGTGTTTTTCAGCAAAGGGAAAAAGAATCTTTTTACCGTATGGAGTATTAATTCTGCGAGTTGTAATTTTCACTTTTTTTCTCACCTTTGATATGATCGCGATTTGTTGAATTCACGGAATTGATGCCAATATATATATATATATATATATATATATATATCTATATCTATCTATCTATCTATCTATCTATCTATCTATCTATATATATATATATATATATATATATATATATATATATATATATATATATATATATATATATATATATATATATATATATATATATATACTCAATCAAACTACACACATGGGATTTTCCCCCGATGCAATAATCAACGAACAGGAGTTCAACACAATTTAAATGATTTTGATGATCAACGTCCCTCTTGCTATTGGATGATTAGTAGTGTAGTAACACCACACGATTTTTATATCAAGGCAAAAACTGACGGACAACTCTGTATACCTGATCGATACATAGGACTCATGACAGATTGACCGGACAACAGGGGATGTTTACTCCTTCTAGACACCTGATCCCCCTCTGGGAGCCCCATTCATCAAATTAATGAGATCGATCACTGATCGTTATTTTCACCATTTCCATTTACTTACAGCTAAGTAAAGATTGAATCATATAGTGTCAAGAGACAGTTTGAATATAAATTCAGAAAAATCTGCATACCATCTTGTTTACATTTTCTCATAAAATATTTTCAGCAGCTTTTAAATTTAAGTATTCATTTGAAATAACAGGTTTTCCTAAAATTCATGTAAATGTAAATTCAGTTTCTTAATCCACTGAATTAATTTACAGCTCCATTGTCCGACATCAATACTCTCTTGTAAAGGATTTTAATAGGGATAGTTTTATTACTGAAAAAAATCATATTGATGACTTTATTAATTTCTTTGTCTGAAATAAGATGTACTAAGATTGAAAAGTAAATCCTTGTCGCCAACACAAGCCATTATCTGTGCAGAACCAGATTTGTTGTTCTACAACTCATTTCTTTCTATAGCTATAAAACTAAAAGATAACATGATCTTTGATTGTGGCATGTACTGAATGTTTTCACTGTTTCACATCCACACGATTTCATAAACTTGTTTTGGAATAAAAAAATAAAAATAATAATTTCTCATATTTGCACACGTTATTCTCATTTACAGTCCCTTAAATTAATTAACTTTGAAAGATGTCGGAGTTCCTGCAAAAAAAATTGAGAACATTAATCGTCTGTTATCAACCTTTTAAATAACACGGGTAATCATTTTGGATTTCATTAAGGTCTTCCGTTTCCAACGGAAGACCTTCTACTGATTGTAATGATTAAGATTATTCTTATTATTCTTTTTTTTTTTTTTTCCTAGACGCCAACTTTGAAGCTTCATATCTTCCTCATTTCTGAACGGATTTTGTTCAAATTTTCAGAGCTTTTAGACTTTACAAAACACTTTCAGAATACTGTAATACAATTCGGAAATTACCTTCTGCTCACGAGTTATTCCCCTTTGATTGAAATTTTTATGCCTCTGGTTTCCAGACAAAGGCTCGGAAACTGTAATAATTGGAGCACAATACCATTTGAAATTGAAAAGAAGAAGCATTGAAATTGTGCACATCGGTTTTTCTTTCTTGATTTTTGCATTAAAAATGGCGCTAGAGAGGGGTCAAAAGTTAGAACGCGAAAAAGAGCAAAAATTT